AAAAAAAATACGCCGACTTCGAAATGCACTAAAAAGTATAAAATAATTTCTATTTCCTAATGAAGTAATTTCTATTTCATTCAATCATACAATTACGTAACAGATATGAATGAAACCTATTTACTCGTTAGGTAGTATATTAAATACATTTCAACCTTTTCGGAGGCGGCGCGAAATTAAATAACATATTCAAAATAATCTTTTAATTTTGCGCCGCCTCCGAAAAGGTTGAAATGTATTTAATATACTACCTAACGAGTAAATAGGTTTCATTCATATCTGTTACGTAATTGTATGATTGAATGAAATAGAAATTACTTCATTAGGAAATAGAAATTATTTTATACTTTTTAGTGCATTTCGAAGTCGGCGTATTTTTTTTTCTAAAAATTATTTTATTTTACATCATATTTTACATTGTCAGCCACCGGCGGTTGACGTGGCGCTCGACTTGTTAAATATTTTTCGTGCGAATTACATTCACCGAAAAATAAAAATACTAATAGTTGCAGCATTAAAGCAATAATGGAAGAACATGATGACTTTTTTTTATTTTTTAACTTAAAAGTTTTCGAAATATACAAAGATAAAAGGAAGATGTTGTTTAACTAACAGTGCATAAATGTTTTATTTCGAAGTTACAATAAAAATATCGAATATGAATGTGAACGTAGTCGTAAGATTTCTTAAAAGAAGAAGCAATATAATTGATCAGTCATTTTTATAATAATATGAATATTTACATTGTAACATGTTAATTGTTGTGCCCCTTGGAGTGCACCGTTGAAAATAGGATAGTTTGGGGTTCGGGAGCTTTAAAGAACTGGACTTTACCGATCGATAAATATAAAATAAGAGCAGACTTTATTCGTTTTACGAGTAACACAATGTTTTTCGAACTCCTCGCCTTGGCGGAGTATCGTTTCTTATATAATTCGCAATTGTCATACTATGTATATGGGCTGATGATGACTATAGTTATTACACAATGACCTGATTATGATCGCTATATGCAGCTTTTGTTACTAACGGGGTACAACATAAATAATGGCAATTGCGTTTCTGGGTATCATTCAAAATGTGATTATGTTTGCAAAAGCATTTTCTTTCTTCTATTTCAGTTTTCTGTGAGTTTTTGTCAGTTCCCAACTTCTTGCATTTGAGAAATTTGTTAATTTGAAAAGTTAATATTTTTATATTTTTCAATTTTTACATTTTCAAATTATCAAACTTCATAATTTTGAAAATTAGAAATGTCTAGAATCTTTCACTATTACTGTAAAAAGTGTGAACATTGATGCCCACAAGCTCCGAGAAACACCTCATTTCTCTACCAATGCAACATTAAGCAGATATTTTTCTGTTTTTTAGCTCAATTCATAAGGTAATTAATCACAATTCGCTATTTTGACTAGTATATCAATTCATTGAATCATTGTGCATCATGATTTCTTATTATTTGTCGTGTAATACATAAATTTTTAATATTTAAATATCATATCGATCAGTCACCTAATTTCACTGAATACATTTATATATGTAAGAATACATTTAATGCGTATACTATTAAGAATACTAGTATGTATTATAAGTACAATATTGTATTCTGAAAATAATATCACATTTGCAGGAAGCATTTCAAAAGTCATTTGAACAAACGGACATTATGCCTGATGTTGTACGGCACTTAAAAAAGACCGATAATATTAAACTGAAGGAAAATTGCGCACTAGCTATATTTCATTGTGGTGTCAACAAAGTTGCAAGAGATATAGTTCGAGAAGCATCTGGTCTGGATATGCTGTGCAAGCTTTTGCAGGACAAAGAAGTCTGCGCAAATAAGCGTTTGCTAGCCGCGGTTACAGGCGGAATTTGGAAATGTGCGGCGAGCGCAGAAAATATATTGAGGTTTAATCAGAACGGTTTAGTCGCACTGCTGGTGCCATTTTTAGAAGAGCATGAGGATGAGAACGTACTGGCGCACGTAGTAGGAGCATTAGCTGAATGTTGCAAAGATACTACTAACAGGGATATTCTGAGAATCAACGAAGGTTTACCAAAGTTGGTAATTATATTTATCTCCTTTTGTAACATACAAACTTTTGTATAGGTGATTTGTATGTGCGACAACAAAGAAAATTCCGAACGAAGAGAAAGTTGGTGTTCTGGATAGCGTCTTCCGTCGTTCAGACCGTCGAATACAAAGTAGGGATAGAATCAGAGGCGACACTCTTTTTCGGCACTTTTGACCTTGAAAACGCTGTCCCTTTAAATTAGTTGTGCAAACGAGTGGGATATTTAAAGCAAATGAATCGAATTTCATGTTAACCTTTAACAATTTGGAATGTATTTGCAGTAAATTTTCTGTACAGTACTAATATTGCCTTTCGAGGTATTTGCATCAATTTTACAACGATAAAAATTTGAAAATATAAGAATGTACGAAAATTATTACTCTATATTTCATTAGTACTCTCTGTTACTAAAGTTATTACTTTACAAAAAAAAACTTTACAAAATATATTTGAAGAATATATGTTACACAAATGATTATTACAAATAACTTATAAGAAAATGAAAAACTATACAGGGTGTTTCACAATAAGTGTAGGTCCCGGAAATGGGGGCAGCTGGCGCGATTCTGAATAAGATTTCCTTTTGCAAAAATAAGGTTTGAAGCTTCATTTTTGAATTATTAAACAGAAACACAGACCAATCAGAGCATGAGGATTACTTGCGCCGAGAAGCGGGAGCGACAGCTTCGAGTCTAGCGGCTGAACGTGAACGCGATGAAGCTTCTTTGCCTCGGAACAGTTAAAACTTCTAATAAGAAGTCTTTACATCAAAACTTACAATTAGTTAAATAACGAACAGAATAATTAAAAGTAGTATTCATTTATTCATGCTTCATAAATACATAATAAGCAAATTTGAATCAGACTCACCTATTGATTAAAAATAATCCTGTTCCAGTAAAATTTTGCAGGAAGGGAAAATATATCAAAAAAGGGATACACATACAAAACATAACACTCATCCTTTCATTCGGTCCGGCGGCGAGAATATAACTGGGTGGAGGGATAAGGCTGACTGGCCTTGGTGGTTTTTCGTAACGAGATATGACTTGCTTCGTTACAGTGTAGTTTTAAACTATTTTTTTCGACTGCCATACTTCTACAACATTGTCCACATTACGCGCATTTCGGAATACTCCGTCAAAATCGTACCTCCTTCCCCGATTCATTTGACTTGGGCATTTCAATTGATTATGTTCTCTGTCTCTCGCTAGGAGATAGGTTTCCTCGTCTAGTGTCGCCTTCTGTTCCATCCCTACTCTTTGCCGTCAAGGCAAAAAAATTATGAAACACTAGACAGTTTCCTCTTCTTGACTTGATGGTTGCTTAATGAGTGGCCAAAGGGACCTTCGTCTCTTTTCACTCGGAATTTTCTAAATAACCTTTTTTCCTTCGTTAATCGTAAAAAGTACAACCTCGATGTAAGCGAAAATAATCTACGTGAGCAACAAAATTATAACCGTTAAACCATACAAGTATAAAAATTTTATATTATTGAGTTTTTGTTATCAAACTTTTACCAACAGATTTTCGAAATTTTTTTGATTAAAATGAGAATAAACACGATTTAATTAGCACTATATTTATTGGTGTCATTAACGATAATACGGATCGAACGCACAGAAAGATAGCGAGCAGAAAAGAAAGAGATGCTGCGTTTGTGGCAATTGATAGAGATTAAAAGTCTGTTGTATTGTTTACAATACTAACGTGTTGCTAACTTTTTTGTTTTTAATCCATTTCTATACAAATTTTTCCATTACATTCCTCATTAAAATGAAAAGATGAAGAAAGTGATACTTTCCTCATTAAAATATGATAAAGCAAGATATAATTTAGAACATATTTACTTGATATAAATGTCAGAAAAATCAAAATCTGCAATCGGACAAAGGAGGCCATGTACGTTCTGTTAGCGCACTTTCACTTATATATCAAAAATATTCTTTTAATATTCTTGTATCAAAAATATTCTTTTATAATATTAGATCTTTGTTATTTTACTAAAAGTATGCAAATTCATTAAATTTTGCCTTGAAATGCCACTGTTCTTTCATAACCAAAATAAAATTAACACACTTCACAAATTGCATTAATAACTAAATTCATTTTCAATTACAATTATTTAATTTTGCAGTCAATTAGTTAATAAATTAAATCAGCGATACAAAATTATTGTCCTTCAAATGTTTATTCACTTATTTTCATCTTAATTAGAATCAAATTATTTTCCAGATAAATTGTACATTTATGAAAAGTCTTGTGGACTTTCCTTATTGAAAGTTTCTTAAATGCAATAACGATACGTTACGTATTATATTGAAATAGGTACTTTGTACGTTTCCTATATTAAGAAACAAACTTCGTAGAGATTATGCCTGTTACATTAATACTATTATTTATAACGACTCATATCTTGATATGTAAAACTACTGCTAGTCTTGTGAAATGAAGATTCATGGCCATTGTTCTTCAGTTTGCAAGATAAAATAATATTGTTATTTATTTATAGATAAAATTGTTGAGTTCAACGTATGAACCTTTGCTGGAAAACATACCAATGGTGATTAAAGAATGCGCGCAAAATGAACAATGTATGGATATTATTAACGATCCTGAACACATTTTGGACGGAGTCCGCTTGGTCTGGTCGCTTTTGAAACATCCCAGTGATGCGATCAAAAGAAATGCTTGTCTCGCATTAGTTCCATGTATCAAATACGCCAAGGACTCTCCTGAAATGGTACGTGCATTCGTAGGTGGATTGGAGTTAACAGTTAGCCTTCTTCAAAGCAAAGACACAAAAGTGCTGAGTGCTGTATGCGCTACAATTGCTCAAATTGCTAAAGATCCAGAAAATCTGGGTATTCTTAGTGATCATGGGGTGGTGGAGGAATTATCAAACCTAGTAGAAACGGTAAGTCTTATAGTTTCCAATCAAAACACTTGCTTTCTGAAACGCGTTCTTTTAACCAATCTTAGAAATCGAAAAACTGTCAGTCAACACTTACTACATTTTCATATTTCAATAATTTATCGCATTTACTACCAGTTATTGCACATTTAAACGGTTCCTTTTTTTGGATGGCTATCAACTTTAATATTATTTATTCTTTATTTTAGATATATTGTAGAAGATTATTTTTGTTAATTCATTAAACTTAAACAGTCCTTTATGTTTATTAAAATGCACTATATTTTCTAGGAAGATGAATGTTTACGTGCAAATTTGACTTTAGCAATAGCTTATTGCAGTGAATGGGAAGAAAATAGTTATAAATTTGGTCAACTGAAAGCAGTCGGACCACTCATTAACTACATGACGAGTAAAAATAAAGACGTTCTCAGAGGAGTTTGTATAGCTGCGTATCATTTAAGCAAAGATCCTTCGAACTGTATTACTATGCATTCTTATGGAATCATAAAGGTATAGTAATTATGTCTTTTATTTTCATCCTTTTGTTATAAATTATCAATGGGTAGATGAAGGGTCTGCCGCATTTCGAAGGGTTACGCATTTCGATGTTCTTCTAATTTGTAGTGAATCATAGGACCACCAACATTATCTCTGTCTTTTCGACGTCGAATATATTTCCGACTTATGCTGAATGATTCACTCCTTACATGATATAGATTAATTACTTCTATTATTAATAGTTATTCTTCACCTCGCTGTAAGGTTTGTTAAATAAAGGATAAATCTTGTAATATAGCGACTTCAAATAAGTTATAAATGATTTATAGTTTAGAAAATTTTTCAAACAAAAGGTAGATAGTTTTCAAAAGCTATAGTGCAGTAACTGCGTTGTCGTTACTTTATTCTTCTATTGAGATATGATGGTCTTCTTCGCCCCTTTTAAATGATACATATGTCTAATATGTTTTCATGGATTTGGATATATCATGAAATTTTACATAAAAATGGAAATGCTAGGATCTAAAGTTATTTGTTATTAAAATATTTGCAAAATAATAATTTTGCATTAGAAAACCAATTCAGTTAATTTGGCGGTAATGCAGTGTTGTTTATGAACACAATTTTTATTAAGTCTTAAACATCGTAAAAATAGAATACTTTAGTACCTTATTATTAATTCAGTTCTCGAAACTAACAAGAAGAAGCTAACAGTTCTCGAACATATCGAATCGTGCCATACAATTTCAGCGAAACTTATGTGAAAAATAGTTCTCAAGAAAATATTTCATACGCATTTTTTTATATTGTCCATTGTTCACATTAAAGGTATGATAATAATTTCTAGTCTTCAAAGTTAAGCGCTGAAATCATATTTTTGGAAATATCTGCGGAATCAAAGGAGATAAATGGAAGCTTTTTTTTGAATTGTAGGTTTTTTAATAGAGAATTTTTCTGCATAAACGAAATTTATTAAACTTTATTTGTTTAAATAATATTTTGAAAATTTATAATTTTTGTTTAAATTTTTTATTAAATGTTGAACTATTTTTTTGCAGCTATATATACGGAAACTATGGACTAAAATAGAAAATACGTGTTTTTGGAATTTGTAATTTTTAGCGCTGTTTATCAGATATATAATTTGAAATCACTTTCTGGAAAGAAGGGCAATTAGCATTTTTGTTAAAAATATCATAATTTTTACAGTCTTTTACAATATTCTAGGCGTTACAGACCTCTTCATACACCATAATTGTTTTCTCAATAATTATTATAAGCGTCGCAGGTATGAATGTGACTAGGCTAGCCTCCTACGAGTTAGAGTCTTTTCTATCGGTTGTCCATTGTAGATTGGAATAAAAATATATAAGGATATGTATTTTTAATATTGGGAGTTAAATGAGGCAGTATTTTGTTAAAAACTGATGTATTTAATGTTGTACAATATTATTGACTTCAAATTGAAATATTTAAAACTGAATGGAAGAAGCTTTGAACAATTATGATCGTTGTACTTCTTATTAAAAAAAAAATTAATAAAAAGTCAACAGGACATGGAGTTGTCAAACCGCCACCCAACCGAGTATTATTAGTGTTCAATATAGCTTGACTTTGATGATCGGACAAGAATCAGCATTTTTTTCTTATAAAATGTGTTTATTTGAGAATTTGAACATTGTATACAAAAACTAATTTTAGGCATAAACACAGCCGCCTTAAAGCCTACATAAATGATATACAGTATTCTCTCCGTAAATGTTAAAATGATCTCCACCGTAAATATTAAAATTCTATCCCCACTACTGGGCGGACCCCCTCGAAATCAGTTATGAATGAAACACGATCGTCGCCGAAACGACGAGGATCGAATATCGGTGAGACACCTACTAATGCAAGCAAAGGAAAAGATTGCAACTTTCTTATTTCTTATTATTTTTTCATGAAACTTTTACTGTCGTATTTGTCTATTTTTCCTTATTAAAATGACACCAAACATGATATAATTACGTTAACAATTGGGTGTGTAACGAGTGATTAAAGCTTTTAACATAAAAGAGGACGACAAATGGAAAAGAAAAAGAGGCAGAAGATTGAAGCATTCGGCAAACATGAAAGACTCGTACGTGTTTTGTTCAAATCAAAATTCTTTATTTTTGGTTTTTCATCAATGAAGCTTTGATTATCGTATTTGTCTCGTTTTTCTGATTAAAATGGTACCAAACACGGTATAATTAAAATCATAATTACTTGTACAGCAAGCCTTTAGGAGGAATTCGCAGCTCTACCGTAAATGTTACATCCTAAACTTTTATGACTTGTTACATAAGTAATTACGATCGTAATCATATCGTGTTTGGTGTCATTTTAATCAGAAAAACGAGACAAATACGATGGTAAAAGTTCGAAAAATCAAACGAAAAATCAAAAATGAAGTATTTTGATTAGAAAAGGTTGAAATGTATTTAATATACTACCTAACGAGTAAATAGGTTTCATTCATATCTGTGACGTAATTGTATGATTGAATGAAATAGAAATTATTTTATACTTTTTAGTGCATTTCGAAGTCGGCGTAATTTTTTTCTTAAAATTATTTTATTCGCAGTTAGCGATCGCGACCCGTTCCTTAACCGTATTTTGTACAGCGAGGGGCTCTATCTCGTTGTTTTAGCGATTTCGGAGTAGACGCCTACCGTGCTCCCACTCCCGCGCTAGACTGCCCACGTGACGTTGTGTGCCAGGGGCGTCGCGTCGTACGGCAGATTTGTTGGAATCCATCCGTGATTAAAAATTTTGCTTGCACTGTTAATAATTATTATTTTTACAGATTATTAAAGTTATTAATACTATGCTTACATCTATAAACATCTTCTATATATACATATAATAACAATAATACATGTTATAATAATTACAATTTTGTCAATAGTTTTCCATATCTCCCAAGAGGTACTACTGCTGATGCGTTTTTTTAAATTGGTTTTCCCTATAGGCCTATTCCACTAAATAAGAAAAACGACAGTGACTCGGCAGGAAAGTCCAAACGACCCAGAAGATCGAAGGAAAATTAAAATATTTTCGATTTCGACTTTCCTGCAAAGTCACTGCGCTCTTCTAATTTAGTGGAATAGGCCTATAGGAGAAACCACTTTTAAAAAACGCATCAACAGTAGTACCTCTTGGGTGATATGGAAAACTATTGACAAAATTGTAATTATTGTAACATGTATTATTGTTATTATATGTATATATAGAAGATGTTTA